AGTCCATTCGAACTTCACAGACTTCCTCGTTAGCTGGGAAAGAGGGAGGGCAATCTCGGAGAAGCCCTCGATAAACCTGTGATAGTAACCAGCTAATCTGAGAAAACTGCGAACCTCGGACGGACTCCTCGGTGTCGACCGCACGGCTGAAACTTTAGAAGGATCCACCTCGATGCCTGCCTGGGTAATCACATGACCCAGAAAGGATACTCGCTGAAGCCAGAACTCGCATTTGGAGAATTTGGCGTACAATTTCTCTCGTCTGAGGGTTACAAGGACTACCCTCAGATGCTCCTCATGCTCCTTCTGACTCTTCGAGTAGATAAAGATATCGTCAATAAAGACAATAACAAACTGATCGAGGTATGGATGAAAGATACGGTTCGTGAGATCCATGAACACTGCTGGTGCATTGCTGAGACCGAAAGGCATGACTACAAACTCGTAATGGCCGTAACGAGTCCTGAAAGCGGTCTTAGCAATGTCTGACTCCTTAATCTTCAGCTGGTGGTAGCCTGATCCTAAATCGTTCTTCGAAAACACACAGGTTCCCCTCAACTGGTCGAATAAGTCGTCGATCCTGGGAAGCGGGTACTTATTCTTAATCGTCAACCGGTTGAGATCCCGGTAGTCGATACACATGCACATAGATCCGTCCTTCTTCTTAACAAAGAGAACGGGTGCTCCCCACGGTGACACGCTCGGTCGGATAAAACCGAGTCATAATAATTCTTGAATCTGGGTCTTAAGCTACTATAACTCCTTAGGCGCCATGCGATATGGGGCTTTAGATACTGGACCGGCCCCTGGAATAAGCTCAATAGAAAACTCCACCTGACGGTTGGGCGGTCCTCCTGGAAGCTCGTCTGGGAAGACGTCAACAAACTCGCGAACGATAGGAACATCATGGGGGGTCCGTGCTTTCTGAGAATCCTCAACAAGGCTTACCAGGTAACCCTGGCAATTGCCTCGTCGCAATAACTTAGTGGCTTTCGCCATCGAACTAACATGAGGCAGTGAACGGTTCTTGGAGCCGAAGAAAGTAATCGACTCGTCTTCCGGAAGATAGAGAGTGATCTCCCGGTCATGACATCTGATGTCAGCATGATAGAAAGATAGCCAATCCATCCCGAGAATAAGATCGAAATCCTTCATCTCGAGAACAAACGCGTCGGCAGTCAATACTCGACCACCGATAGAAAGGCTAAGATCTGAGGCTTTGGCTGAGGTCACTATCTTTCGTCCCGAGGCTAAACTCACCTCGAGAGGATCGAAAGCGGTAACTGCGTGAACTCCGATGACGTCGAGACATCGTCGTGAAATGAAAGTGT